TAGGCAAGAATTTAAAAATAAATGTTGTTATTTGACTTCCCATTTTTGCGCAGTAAGTTTTAAAGTAAACTCGTTTACATAGTAATCTAAGTCGAAATTTTACGAAACTTATTGAGAAAGTAGGGAACTTCTCATAATATAACATATCCAAAATTCAGCTTTCATCGACCACATATGAGATATTAAAATATTTTTCAAAACCTCATAGCGACACGATTTGGGAAGTAACCCAGTGCAGTATACTTAAGGTGGTATATAAAATTTCATAGATATTAGATTGATATGATTTTGAGTTTATTCAGTAGCTAATCCATGAGACTATTAAATCCTACTGGTTTTGTCCAAAAATCCCAAGTAACAATTGAGTTACGAATTTTTAAGTTTAATGGTAGAAATTGGAATTTTCAGAAAACAGCAACACCATGTTTACTTAAAGTGACATATAGGTAGACGGTGTTTCGTAAGTAAATTCTAGATCACACACATATATATATATATATTTAAACATAACCTATTCATAAGAAAATGTTCGAAATAGTTTCATATACGATGTCCATAGAAAAGTAACTAATAGGAAACGCAAATATTTCATAATCAATTTAAAGTTGCGACTTTTCCATGTCAAATTGCATCTTCAATCACCATCATCTGCGCCTCCAACAAAAGAAAAAAATCAACCTGTAATAAGGGATTTAACCCATGAGTTTGAAACTCAATAGATATCATTGGTGCATTTCGTAATCAAATTAGAAAATTCGAACTATGGATTCATACCATCGCAAGTAGATGGATTTTCGACAAAATCCGATATCTATAGCATTATCATAACACGTAGAGTTGGAGAATGATTATTCAAACTATAATAGTGCCGAAGCACCGTATCCGAAGGTACCGTTTCGTTCAACTTTTAACGAAAAATCAAATTTGAAAATGAAATAACACTTGCACCTCAACCTACCTTGAATCTTCTTAGATATCAAAGAACAAATGTGTAGAAAGCCTTTCTTCTTTTCACCCTTGTTATTCCCTTAACTTAAATTGACATAAAATATATTTTTTGAGAGAAAATAAGATGAAATTCGGATTTAAGGAAGGATGTAGTGAAAAAGTGACATTCCACTTCTTGTAACCTTTCTTTTTAATGAAAAACTAAATGGGGGGAGTTGTATTATCATAAAGTTTGTTAAATTGGATCTTTAACTAAGAATTTGAAAAGTTTTTAAGCCTAAAAAAAATTCATAAAAAAGTTTTATAAAAACATCTACATGGTGATTCAAACCTGAGTTGCCTTTATGAAATAACATGTAGATGATCATTGGGGTAACCCAGTTATTTATTAAATCTTTGTAATCAAATTTACTTAAACTTAATTGCTTAAATTGTTGGACTTTTAATTAATTTATGGCTTGGACTTTCAAAATCTTAAATGGTTTGAGCTTCCACAAGTCGTTTTTTGAATGAGATAGGCTCATGGTGCTAGATTATCATAACATAATAGCCTAATTTCATTTTATTTCTCGGGCTTCCACATCCCTTACACCTTAAACAAAATTTCGTTCTCAAAATTTACCTTATGGATTGGCAAAGAGTGTCGGATATTTGTCTTTAACTTCTTCTTCTTCTTCCCAAGTAGCTTCTTCAACTCCATAATTATTCCATTGCACATTGACCAGTTGAATCTCCTTGTTCCGTAATTTATGTACCATTCGATCCAGTATTCTAATCGGTAATTCCTCATAAGATAAATCTTTACGTACATCTAGGGATTGATAATTGACCACGTGATCAGGATCATGCATATATTTTTTGATCATCGATATGTGAAATACGTTGTGAACTACTGATAGTTCGGACAGTAAAGCTAATCGATAAGCCACACTTCCGACCTTATCAAGTATTTCAAAAGGTCCGATATAACGAGGTCGTAGCTTGCCTTTCTTGTCAAACTTAAGTACACCCTTTATTGGTGCCACTTTTAAAAAGACTTTATCTCCAACTTGAAACTCCAAGTCCTTTCGTCTGATATCTACATAGCTCTTTTGTCTGTCTTGCGCTACCTTTATCCTAGTGCAGATCTTATCAATGGCTTCGACTGTCCTTTCAATGAATTCTGGTCCCAAAACTCTATTTTCTCCGACTTAATCCCAATGAACAGGTTATCTACATATTCTACCATAGAGAGCTTCATACGGTGCCATTTCAATAGTTGCTTGGAAGCTGTTATTATATGCAAATTCTACCGAAGGCAAATACGATTCCCAATTGCCTCCTAAATCCAAAACACAGGCTCTTAACATAGCTTCCAAAGTCTGAATGATTTTTTCAGATTGACCATCGGATTGAGGGTGATATGTCGTACTGAAATTCAATTTTGTTCCAATAGCCACTTGCAAGCTCTTCTAAAACTTAGATGTAAATCTCGGATCTCTGTCCGATACAATGGATACGGGGGTACCATACAATCTTATGATCTCTTTAATGTACAACCGTGCCAACTAATCTAGACTGAATGTCATTTTCACAGGAAGAAAATGAGCGGACTTCGTTAGACGGTCCACTATTACCTATATAGCATTGTGCCCTCCTGCTGATCTCGAAAATCCTACCACAAAGTCCATTGTGATATTCTCCTACTTCCATTCTAGTATTTCCAATGGATTTAACAACCCTGCCAATCTTCGATATTCTGCTTTAACTTGTTGACAGACAATGCATTTTGCCACAAATAGACATATACTTCTTTTCATATTCCTCCACCAAAATGTATCTCGAAGGTCTCGATACATTTTCGTACCGCCAGGATGTGTAGTGTATGGAGTGATATGAGCCTCCTCCAATATCTCCTTCCTCAAAACTTCATCCTTAGGTACACAAATCCTTCCTTTAACCATCAGAGCCCTATCCGAAGCTATTCTAAAGTCCTTTCTCTTATCAATACCAATCTCGTTCTTGATCTTTTGCAAGAATGGGTACTTACCTTGTGCCTCAATGATCCGATCTCTAAGAGTAGGTCAAACCACCAAAGTTACTAAACGGGTGGTGACTTGCTCTGGTGTGGCAACCATTTCGATTCGTAAATTCTCCAAGTCCTTGATCAACTCCAACTAAGTAGTAGGTAATGACGCCAATCGTCCCACTGACTTTCTACTTAGCACATTGACAACAACATTAGCCTCACCAGGATGGTAATGGATAGTAAAATCATAATCATTTACAAGTTCCAAACATCCTCTCTGTCTCATATTCAATTCCTTCTCTATGAAGAAATATTTGAGGCTTTTATGATCCGTGTAAATGTCGCACTTCCCTCCATATAAGTAATGGCGCCATATCTTTAAAGCATGCACAACTGTAGCAAGTTCTAGATCATGCGTTGGGAAGTTCAGTTTATGTTGCTTCAATTGCCTTGATGCATAGGCAATCACTTTTTCGTGCTGCATCAGTACACATCTTAAACCTTGTTTGGATGCATCACTATATATAATAAACCCTTCCGAACCTTCGGGTATAGCTAACATGGGTGATGAAATCAATCGTCGTTTTAGCTTTGAAAGCTCTGTTCACACTTATCTGTCCATTGGAACTTTACTCTTTTCCTTGTCAATTGTGTCATTGGTCCAACTATTTTGGAAAATCCTTCTATAAATCTCCGATAGTACCCGGCCAATCCCAGAAAACTTCGAACTTTACCCACGTTAGTTGGTGTAATCCAATTAGTTATTGCTTCCACTTTTACTAGATCCGCCTTAATTCCTTGGGCAGTAACTACGTGACCAAGAAATCCAACTTGTTCAAGCCAAAATTCACACTTTCTAAATTTGGCGTATAACTTTTCCTTACGCAGTGTTTCTAACGCCATTCTAAGATGCTCTTCATGTTGATCTTTACTCTTGGAGTATATTAAGATGTCATCAATGAAGACTATGATAAATTGATCCAAATACTGATGAAATACACGATTCATTAAATCCATGAACACTGCCGGAGCATTTGTCAACCTAAACGACATAACTATGAACTCGTAATGTCCATAACGAGTTTGAAAAGCTATCTTGGGTATATCACTTGCCTTAACCTTCAACTGATGGTATCCAGATCGTAAGTCGATCTTCGAAAATACCTTAGCCCCTTTCAATTGGTCAAATAAATCCTCGATTCTTGGGAGAGGATATTTATTTTTGATAGTGAAACGGTTCAACTCCCGATAGTCAATACATATCCTCATACTTCAATCTTTCTTCTTTACGAACAATACTGGTGCGCCCCAAGGAGACACACTTGGTTGAATAAAGCAACAATCCAACAATTCTTGTAATTGAAATTTTAACTCCTGAAGTTCATTTGGAGTCATTTTGTATGGAGCTTTAGATACTGGTACCACTTCGGGAACCAGGTCTATTGTGAACTCCACTTGTCTATCTGGAGGAATACCATGTAGTTCTTCTGGAAATACATCTATAAACTCTCGTACAACTGGTACATCCTCAATCTTTATTGTCGTCTATTTTTCTCCTGAGATGTTAACTAGAAACCCTTAGTATGTTTTTTTTTCTCATCATTTTCTCAGCTTGTAAGGCCGATACTAGTTGGAGATGGAGTTTGGTCTTTATTCCGAGAAAAGAGAATTGCTCTTCTCCTAATTTCTGAAAAGACACTTCACTTTCTCTACAACGAATGGTTGCATAATTACGTCCCAACCAATCCATGCCCAAAATCACATTGAAGTCTTTCATCTCTATCAGATACAAATTAGCTTCTACTGTTTTTCCTTCGATTTCAAGATTTACCGACCTAGCTAACTGATCTGTATTTAATGTTCTACCTGAGGGGACGCTAACTTCTAGTGTACTTTCTGACTTCTCACAAGTAATACTAGATTTAGAAATAAAAGACGTTGATACAAAAGAGTGAGTAGTTCTTGAATCAAACAGTACATAGGCAGGTGTATTGAATATCAGTAAAATACTTGTTATTACGTTTGAGTTTTCCTCTGCATCCTTCTAAGTCAGTGTAAAGACTTGTGCTTTTCCCTTTTTGTTTTGATCACTGTTATCATCCTTCTTTTGAGTGAACATAGGACAATCCTTAGCAATATGTCTTGGCTTACTGCACCGAAAACAGGCATTCTTCCCATATAAGCATTTACCACAATGAGGTTTACCACACTTTAGACAAGGCGTAACTGTAGCTACTATGGCCTTGCTGGCACTAGATCCGATGTTAGCCTTCTTATTTTGCCATTTGCCCTTTCCTTTGTCTTGACCATTCCACTTCATCTTTCCAATATGCCCTCTATCTTGCTGGTTGTACAATTGACGGTGTTGCTCCGCATTAGCCTTCTGATACCAAATAGCGTGAGCTCATTCCAACATCTCACGATATGATGTGAAATGATATGATAAAAGAATCATGCTTAGGTCTGGGTTTAACCCTTGCTCGAACCTTCTAGTCTTCTTAATTTTTGTGTCAACCAGGTGTGGAGTATATTTTGAGAGTTGATCGAACTTTCGTTTGTAATCAATCAGGGACATATTACCTTGTTTGAGCTGAAGGAATTCGTTTTCCTTGAAATCTCTTAGAGACTGAGGAAAATACTTGTTCATTACTTCATCTTTAAATTGTTCCCATGTTAACGCCAATTGCTGCTCCGGGGTTCTAGTCTGAGACATTAAATCCCACTAGTAACTTGCATCACCAATAAACATAAACTCCACACACTGAACCTTTTGGGTGTCGGTGCAGTCTATGAGTCGAAAAATTCGTTCTAGCTTACGAAGCCATTCCTTAACTTCTAGTGGACTAGATGCTCCATCGAAGGCAGGGGGCTTATGCCTTCGAAATAACTCAACCACCGAGGCATGAGTCGGGAGAGTAATAGGAGCTAGTGGTGTAGTTGGAGTTGGGTTCTGATTCAGCTTGCCAAGATCTTGAATCATTTGTAGAATATCCCTTATCAATTTGTTCTGGTTTACACGAGACATTTCCCTAGAAATAAGATATAATATCTCACATTAACTTCTTTTTCCAAAACCAGGATTAAAATAGGGAAATATTTTCAACTCGAACCAGATTTGATTTTTTTTATTAAAAGCACTCCTTGAAATCAGGATATACAATAGTTCGACAACCCTTACTTTCATAACATTAAGGAAAAGATAACACAAGGAAAAAGAATCTAGTTTCTAATCCCTATGAATCTTGCGAATCTTCTTTGGTGGAGCTTCATCTTCGGAGGAGGCTTCTGCCTCAGGCCTGGACTCTAGGTCTATCTCAACCTGTAGCTCATGCTCATGCTCAAGTTCATTCTCTAATTCCAACCCAAAGTCATTCTCATGCTCCCATTCGGGATCTTCCTCTGGATCCGATTCAAACTAAGGTTCTGGCTCAGGCTCGGGCTCAAGCTCAATTACTATCTTCGGTTGAGGTTCTAAGCTCTCACTCCACGTGTCTAGAAGGATCTGACAATATATACCGAACCCAATTGCATTTGGGTGCTCTGGAGGGTTACCTTCTTGCATCTCATCCCTGAACATGACTCTCATGTTTCCCAATTGAGGTGGAAGTGGGTGTATGAGGTTATTTATAGCCTCGATATTCGTGATCTCCAGTCTTGGATCTACCGCCGCCATACATCTCTCGTAAATGTCATGTATGTGTTCAACAAGCGGACGAGATAGGTCAATCACGTAGTTCTCATAGGATTGAATGATAGACCTATGGTTCAACGCTGCTCTACAAGTCGTGGCCTTTCTAGTGGTCTGATAAATTCTAACCATGTCTGTCACATAAGTGTCCAATTATGTATTATATCTGTTAGTGATATCAACTTATGCATTATGCTTTTGGGGTTTCAATAAAATAGCTAATCATCATTTCTTCATGTATATATAAACAAAATATAACTTACATAACATATTTCATTCTAAATATCATTAGCATTTTCATAGATTTAAGCTTAAATGATTTATAAATCATGCTCGAAAAATAAAGTAGAACATAATATTTTATTCCATACCTTAAGTTCGTCGAATGATGTCAATTGATGGATGCAAGATGCCATGGAATGCCTTAAATGTTTCACTTTCTCTCTCATCTTTTAATTATTATTATTTTTTTTTAAAAATACGCTAAGTCTACAGAATTGACTAAACTCGTGCTCTGATACCACGCTGTAACGTCCCGACCCGCAAGGACCGGAACGTTGCTAGATTAATTGTAGTTTTAGCCGTATACTTAAAAAAATAGCTAAACTTTTAGAGAAAATTATAAAGATTTAAGTTAAGAATATTTAAAAAAAATAATAAATGACAACATAACTCATTACAAAAGAAACTAATTCCTAATGTCTTCAGGTGACATTCATACATAAATACATTTTTGTTACTTGAAATTTTAGGCAAGAATTTAAAAATAAATGTTGTTGTTTAACTTCCCATTTTTGCGCAGTAAGTTTTAAAGTAAATTCGTTTACATAGTAATCTAAATCGAAATTTCACGAAACTTTAAGAGAAAGTAGGGAACTTCTCATAATATAACATATCCAAATTCAGCTTTCGTCGGCAACATGAGAAGTTAAAATATTTTTCAAAACCTCGCAGCGACTCGATTTGGAAAGTAACCCAACGCAGCATACTTAAGGTGGCATATAAAATTCCATAGATATTGGATTGACATGATTTTGAGTTTATTCAGTAGCTAATCTATGAGGCTATTAAATCCCACTATTTTTGTCCAAAAATCCCAAGTAACGATTGAGTTACGGATTTTTAAGTTCAATGGCAGAAAATGGAATTTTCAGAAAACAGCAACACCATGTTTACTTAAAGTGACATAAAATTTTACCGACATCGAATTGATATGATTCCAAGTTTATTCAGTAGCTAACTTATGAGGCTATCAAACACCATTAGCTTTGTTCAAAAATTCGAAGTAACCAATTAGTTATGAATTTTTAAAATCTGAGCAGAAACTGAAATTTCTAAGAAAACAGTAACATTAACTAGTTGACATTTTTTTTTTTGTAGACGGTGTTTTGTAAGTAAATTCTAGATCACATATATATATTTAAACATAACCTATTCATAAGAAAATATTCGTAGAAATAGTTTCATATACGATGTCCATAGAAAAGTAACTAATAGGAAACACAAATATTTCATAATCAATTTAAAGTTGTTAATTCACCGACTTTTCCATATCAAATTGCATCTTCAACCATCATCATCCGTACCCCCAACAAAAGAAAAAAATCAACCTGTTAGAAGAGATTTAACCCATGAGTTTGAAACTCAATAGATATCATCAGTGCATTTCGTAATCAAATTAGAAAATTCAAACCATGGATTCCTACCGTCGCACGTATATCGATTTCGGCAAAATTTGATATCTATAGCATTATTATAACACGTAGAGCCGGAGAATGATCATTCAAACTATAGTAGTGCCGAAGTACCGTACCCGGAGGTACCATTTCATTCAACTTTTAACGAAAAATCAAATTTGAAGACGTAATAATACTTGCACCTCAACCTACCTTGAATTTTCTTGGATATCAAAGAACAAATGTGTAGAAAGTCTTTCTTCTTCTCACCCTTGTTATTCCTTTAACTTAAATTGACATAAAATATATTTTTTGAGAGAAAATAAGATGAAATTCGAATTTAAGGAAGGATGTAGTGAAAAAGTGACATTTCACTTCTTGTAGCCTTTCTTTTTAATGAAAAACTAAATAGGGGGAGTTGTATTATCATAAAATTTGTTAAATTGGATCTTTAACTAAAAATTTGAAGAGTTTTTAAACCTAAAAAAAATCATAAAAAAGTTTTATAAAAACGTCTACATAGTGATTTGAACCTCGGTTACCTATATGAAATACCATGTAGATGATCATTGGGACAACCCAGTTATTTATTAAATTTTTGTAATCATATTTACTTAAACTTAATATCTTAAATTGTTGGGCTTTTAATTAATTTATGGCTTGGGCTTTCAAAATCTTAAATGGTTTGAGCTTCCACAACTCATTTCTTGAATGAGATAGGCTCGTGGTGCTAGATTATCACAATATAATAGCCTAATTTCATTTTATTTCTCGAGCTTCTACAGTATATATATCATTTTCCTAATTTTTTTTCTAATGTTATATAGTCGATAGAAAAATAGAGAAGTCATCAAAATTTTGTCAAGAAAATCCAATGGAATAAAATTTGTTTGAAGAAAAAAGAGTATAACTGTTCTCCCTTATTTCAATTCCTATATCATTTCATCCTTGTCTTGTATGACAATGTCTTCAATATTAAAATTTTTGGTGAAGTATGTCTCATGTTGTCTTGTATAGTTTTTAAAAAACACTGTCTTTATACGAGATATTTATCAACATTTTATGATTGTAGTAACATGATGATTTGAAAAATAGTTATTGTAGAAATCTTCAGAAGTTTCTTATATATTAGACTATTATTTTGGGGGTAGATGTTGTATAGGTTATAAACATTTATTACACAAAGAATATGCTTCTTTAAAATTTTATTAACAAAAATTCTATGGAAAAAATAATAATGAAGGAAATATGGTACATTATTCTTTCAAGTACGCTAAAAATTTTTTATAATTTGTTATGTATAAATACTCATCAAGAGTATATGCCTTTTTAATGAGACCATCTCCCATATATGCTCAATTTTCGTTTGGAGATTTTTTATGAACGTAATCATGCTTCAGGCATGCCATAAATTTACCGAGTATAATATTAACGAATTGTCATTTCAGGACGTCAATTCGAGTTGGAGCATTTTAAAGATGTTGTATGAGATATTGTTGATTTCTTTGTTCAGTAAATACATCTAAATAAATTATTTTTCAAACTTCTATTTCGAATGATCTTTTGTGAGGATTTAGGTAACATAGTGATGTATTTGTACATTTACTGCAGCTTCTTAATTTCCCCCTAATGCTGAGAAAATTATTCAATTGAATTGACAATTAGCACACCGTGCTATAAAACATCACTTGTTTGAGATAAAGGATCAAATTACTCATTAATTCTCAACATTCTTTATTTTCCATCTCAAAACATTATAGTATATTAGTTTTTGATACACTGCGTTATCAAAATAATTTGATGAAAAAATTAATCTTTGACCATAAGCCAAGTTATAGCAGAGAGAACTATGATGCTGACATGATATGTAATAGCATTCTACAAATAGAAATAAGAAGTACTTTGTTCTCAATAGTAATGATTCATGAATTAATTTGGAGGCACTTAACAAATAATAGTTTCAAATCATTTATTGTCATCCCAACTAACACTTACTAAAAAATTGAGATTTAAGTTCACTATCATTAACAAAACACACTATCTTAATTCTATAACCTGAAAATCATGCTCATAATTTAAAATATGAGCACATCTATTAGATACAGATAATATCTTTACGGTCAACATATAGGGTGAGGGAGCCCCATATATCGCCCAAATTAATTTTCAGAAATACAGAAAAATTCGATCTCTATTTTAACTGGCGACGATCAAGGACCAATTTTCAATAAGAGAACAAATATCATATATGAGTTATTTGGATTAAAGAATCTTTTGATTCTTCGTTAAATATCCATTTTAATTATCATTTCGCATCATTATTGAACTGAACATGTCAAACAACGAAATATAAGAGCCATTGATTAATGATAGTATTAATACATTACTCAATTATACTAATGTGTAGTATCAATTAATGATAAATATTTTAAAAACATAATATTTCAATTTTTTCCAAATTAGTACAGAACAAATTACCACAATAGTAAAATTTATCCGTACATATAACACATTATTGACTCTTTTGGAATCTCAAAATAACATTTTTCAGGAATATTGATATAAATAAGCTATTGCTTCTTTAGAAGCAATTTGATTAAAACTACAATTCTTCCAGATCAATATGATATTTACATTGAAATATCTAAATTGTGATTCTTA